CAAAGTGTTGCCGCGCAAAGTGTTGCCGCGCAAAGTGTTGCCGCGCACATTCACCGACAGGGGCACCCAACATCTTGTGAAAGAATCCCTGGGCAGGCCACAGGGGGAAGTTTCTTTGCAGCCCTCGACATACTTCAAGCAGTTTTCTCCTTTGTGTGGCGCGACCAACAGGGGTTTGAAATGGGTCTGAACAACACCCCAAACTTTTTCAAGGATGTCTGCCAAGTGACAGTGCCTGCGAAATCCGTTTTCACCTGGACTTTGGCTTTGCCAGGCATCGAAGCTTCTCGGAAGAGTGAGCGTTCTGGGAAGATGTCGAGAGCAAGAAGTGAAACCTGTGCAAGCCAAGATCTGGGGGCAAAATGTGTCACAGATAGCCTGTCCTGGCATCAGGTAATGTTTTCACCCACGAAGGGTTCCAAATCATGAGACAAGCGGAGTTTGCAACATACATAAGAACTTTTCTATATGAAAGAAAACAAAACCAAAAGAAGGCGTGTCACAAAGTGCCGCGGTCTTCTCTCCTGTCTTCTCTCCTATCCGCAAAACCGAGCTGCTGCCTGCTGCAGCGTTGTGATTGAGCCAAGGCAGATCTACTTTTCAGTTTAGCGCCCACGAGCTGCAAAAAGAGGCCTGTAACATCTCCGGACTAACTGCCAGCACATACGGGCCTATCATTTTGCTCAACTACTGTACCAAGCAATGCTTGTGAGGCTACCGCCTGAATGTCTGGGGGGTGCCGAGGTCACTGTTGCCGGTGATCATCATGTGCCCAGTGAGTGAACTCACCCTGCCGGTGGCGTCAGGAGTTCATAAGACCGCAAGACCATTGCCAGCGAAACCAAACCTCAGCTGCTTCAATCAGGCTACTAGTAACAAGAAGCTACTAGCAAAGGGTATCGCTACTAGGAGCAAGAAGCTACTAAGTAAGAAAGGGCACACCTTTCTTCAGAAGTAGAGTTGGGTCACAGAGACCTCGGCAGTGTTGCGCTTCCACGCCAGGAGGCCGGCGTTGAAGGGCGAAAGAACCCCGAAGACCAACAGAGAAATCACTGTATATGTTATGTTGGTGTCGAATCCTTCAGGGCACTGCAGAGAAGTCTGAGTGTGAATCCTTCAATGCCTATTTATGTCAGGTATGTGACCCATAGTTTATGCATACATTTCAATCACGCGCAACGTGTCAAGCTGGCGAGCCTTCTTTTTCCATCTCTTAGGCCGTTTTGTGGCCTAAGCGACACAACTCCTGAGCTAGTAGGAATTTACAACCTGTTAGTAGTTTTTCTGGGCTAGTGTCCATGGGCTGCCTACGGGCTCTTGTCCATGACTTGAGCAGAGTTCAGAGGACATAAACAAAGGACACAAACACTTTCCAAGACCATCCGACTCGGCACACCTTCCGGAGGATTGGGATCGACATGAGCTTGAACGACGCGGAGGTCTTGGCCTATGCTGTACCTTGCCGGGCGATGCAGGTTTCAGGAGACCCCCTGGCCCTGGCTGGGCAGACGAAATTTTTCCGGGTCGTTGCCTGGGAGGTCTCCGCCACAAATCGTTCGGTGGCGCTTTGGTTCGCCTTCGCGCGTGCTGCGCGCGTCGGCGAACCACCGCCCGCGCGTTTTCATGGGGTCAATGGCGGCGGCAATGGCGTGTGTGTCTTGCGGCGTCTGGCGCGGTGGTAGTGTGTCAGGGCGCCGCTTCTTGGATTGTTGTTAACATGAAGAGGATAGGCTGCCCCACATCACAGGTCGTTCAAGGCTAATCAAAGGTTAAACAATTGGACAGTTTTCATGCGACTTGCGTAGACAGGGAAGAACTAAGTGTGGCTCAGCCACTTGGTCCTAATTGGTTGGTTTGTAAAATTAATAGAGACATCCTTTGGATCCTTTTTTTCAGCGCTTTTCAGCCTCCTTCCGTCCTCAGTTTGGTGATTTAAGCAAGGAAGCTCGAGCTGCCTTTGGCATAGGTCGTTTTGCTGGGAAGATACCAGAAACAAAGCCAAATGGATGGAGTGGACGTAGCCGGGGTTTGTCTTACTTTGTACAGTGGTTTGAGAGGAGATAGCACCGTGAGATTGTATACGATGGACATCCACATGAACTGCTGCATATGTGTTACTCTGAAAACACAGGAAATCCAAGAGAATCCAAGAGAATTGATGCACAGTGCATGGGCTTTACATCGATCTAGCTGTGATGCTGGATGTCATCTTGTGGAAACAGTGCACCTGCTGTTGGACGGAGATGTTTGATACTTTTGGAGGATTTCATGATCCTCGTGTAAGAAATTGTAAGACACCAAGAACCGCGAATTCTGGACGACAAATGGCACGAGACTCGACGCCGGCATGTGTTTTTGAATCCTTTTGAGTTGAAGCGGACGTGAGTCGTCGTTGGTGTTTGGCCCGAACAAGACATCAGCAGCGAGGAAGCGTGTTTGTTTTTGTATTGTTTTGTTGGATTCTTTTCCCCAAGAAAATCGGATTGTATATTAATAATAGGTACCTACAGTAGATGTACCTATACCCTTATAAGGGGTGTAAGTCTGGGGGTGTCAAGTACCGCTTGGAAGCAGCTGGTAGATTTGTGTTCCAACGAGACACTCCACTTCGACTGCTTCCAACCGTTTCTTTTGTGCAATCGTAGAAGTGAGATTCACCGAAGTACTGCCATGGGCCATGGAGATCATTCCTAGAACCTGAGTGATCTCTATTTTTGGACTACCGACCACTTCAAAAATGGTTCAACGTCCTATTCAAAACAGGGGTTATGTTTGTCTGGGCTCTGAGACATCTTGAGATATCTCTGCGAGTGTTGTTCAATGGAAGACCTTTTGAATCACTTCCGTCAATAGAGGTTTATATAGAAGTATATAGGAACCTATATAGGAGTCCACCGGAGCCTATATGTTAGATATAGGCTTTCCAAAAAGAATCAATCATAACGAGATCCCCAGAACCCAGGCTGTTCCTGCTCTCAGAGCAGTCGTAGGTCTCCGCGAAACAGGTCTCCAGGCGTGGGGAATGGACGGTCTCACCACGTGGGGAATGGAAGGTCTCCGGCGGGGGACGGACCTGAAGGTGATTTTCAGTTGAAATACACACCCAGATAGTATCTACAGACTGTTGATGAATCAACCCCCCAGGCCCTTTTGGGGGTGCGTTGAAAACAAAGCTTTCCATCTCCACATCATGAGTCCTTTTAGACACATACTATTGATGACCTTTTCTGGTTTGAACAACAAGTGCAGTTGCACGAGCCAGTGAACATCTAAACATCAAAGCCCCAGATCTTTTCATGCGAGCAACCAGGCTGACTGAGTCCAGCCCCCTAGTCCGTGCTGAGGACGCGCCCTTTGTGGTGGTGGAGAATCTGTTCTGTTCCTTGGAAGGTCTGGCTGGGCACACAGTTTTCGACCAAAAAAGCACAGGTTTTTCACTCCAGCATCAGGGAGTAGAAACACAGGGACCACGGGGAAAACACATTTACAAAGCACATCCAAGGTGTGTTTTGATGGAGAAGCATTGTAATCACGATCGAGGAAGATCGATTGAGAGCCCCTTTGAACACCATCATCAAGGTGTAGAAGATGAAGAACATGATTCTATATCCGGTACATGGAGCCAGTGCGTCAAAAGGATCAGCCGAACAACTTTTTTCAGGCAAACACCGCCCGCAATAAAAACATGTGTTTATCACGGATCTTTGGAAGAGCCTTTTTGTCAGGAATCTGTGCCAAGGTGGAGGGAACTCTTGGAAGCTTAGGGTTTGTTGTGTCAGAATCCGCCCAACTATATAATGAGTTGAAGAAGTGCTAAGGAATTTTATTTCGGTTGACCCCGGAGAAACATCCCATGGGAAACATCCCCGCGTGTCTATCAATAATGTTGCATTACCTGCCTGGACCAACCGCAAAGAATTGTTGGTCCAAGTTTCGTTTGTTTCAGGGTACTGCCCTGCAGTGCGCTTGGCAGTGCGCCTGGCAGTGCCTAGGCTGCTTCTTCTTCTTCGAAATTCTGGTGCGCTTGCTTGCCTTCGACCGCACGTGGGGTGCCTTCAAAGATCGCTGGTTCCTGTCCCTTGGACGCCGGACGTCAGAAAACCACGGGCCATGGCAATGGATTGGCCTGAAGACCCGGACAACCGGCGTGTCACACGATGTCCAAACGAAAAAAGAGAATCGATCAGGTTTCCAGCGGTTTCCAAGAAGACTTACAGCCATAGGCAGTGCATTGAAAAAAAAGGGAGACTTCTGAGACTTCCCAGTTCAACCCCTGGACAAAGGGAAATCGACCAGTCTACCCATTGGTTGGGTCTCCCTATTGCACACGCATATACATGTCCGTCATTTGAATGGGGCCCCCGTTTTTTGAACGTGATTCTTTTTTTTGTAATTTTTCCCTAGGCTTCGAAGAGCGCCAAAGCAAAGTTGACTTGGCATTGTACTTCCGAATCCTTAGCATAACATGCCTCGTCTCTGTAACATTACTATGTCTTCCTAGTGATGTTCGGACTCTTGTGGTTGTGCGGTCACCGCCATTCAATAACCTAGTTTTGCTTAAGGTGATTTGGTATTTTCCCTATGGGTACATTCCGGGAATACTTTTTTACTTAAGCAACTCCAAGTTCATCAAAGGTGCTTGGATTCATCTGGTTCCTTGAGCCGCGTTGCGGGGTGATGAACAAACCATTTATCACGATCGTGCTGCTGTTGTGTCGATCGCAGTGAATCACATACAAAGCTTTTGCCGGCAGGTCCGCTAGAATCTTCAGCTTTGTGTTTTGAAAAAGCTGGGCAGTTCAAGAGTTCAAGTACACTGTGGAAGATTCACATGGAACCTGATGGCATGGACCAGGCTGGAAGACCATTTTCTTCTACAACCCTTATATAAATACATGGTTTTCAGGTTCCATGGTGGGCCTCTGGTTCCAGGAGTTCACACATCAAGGGATATCGCCTCTAGGGCCTGTGAACTCCTTGCTTCACCAAGTCCCCAGACCCGATTCTGGCTCTGGATGAGCCACTTCCCCAGTTTGGGGGTCTACTTGGGTCTACTTAGGGGTCTACTTGGTGCCACCTGGAGCGCCTGTGAGGTTTGACTTCGCGCTCGTAGTGCTCATGGTTTCTTGGACCGACGGACCAGCCGAACCACGAGGAGGGGAGCGCCGACCCGGGCCGATCTCCCATGTTTTGGTCTCCATCGATTTGGTTTTCGTTTGGCGTTTCGTTTTTCGTTTTCCTTTTTGGCATCGGAAGATGGTTTTTTCTTCGTGGCATGCGCTTCTTAGAGCTCGTCAACTTCTTTCTCTCTTAGGAACTAAGCTTCGTAAGCTTTGATTGTTTCTTGTGTGGTTTGCTGACTGGAAGAGGACATGTCCATTCCATGCTCACCTTCCCCCAAGATGAAAGAGCTCTGGCACTGGGTGAAAAACACACCAACACCAATACGGATTCTGAAGATAGTTGTTGCGTTGTCACATGTTCTATAATGACAATGAGACTATTCTTTTTAGACAGTGTGTTTTTGCAGGGACAAACAGTTGAGTGATGAACACCTATATACGCAACAAATACGATTTGCGTATCCTGTGCTGCCCTTTGAACAGAGAGTTTGGAAGAATGCTCCTCATGCTCCTCAATCTGGCAGATGATATCAGCGAACATGATGCATGGTGAAGGATACGCTGGTCTGATCCAGTGGTGAAGAAAGAAACGGTCGAACCACAAGGAAGGCTAGTGTTCGTTGTTCCCAAACATCTTAGATGGTCCCTGATTTCTTTTATCAACTCAATGTATAGAACTAATAACTGAGGAGACCCGGAGACCAGCGACATTTCAAAATTTCCTTCTATATATAGCTATCGACTAGCTACTAGCCGATGCATTTTTGCAAAGCGACTTATTGGGTGCTTTGGTTCCCGCAAGATAGATTTGGCGGGGCACTTCCCGCAACATGTGCTGTTTTGTTACTTTTATCCACAAAGGAAGGTCTGGTCACCTGGTCTGGAATTTATCCTATAAGCTTCATCTCATGGATCCTGTTGGACATGGGAGTTTCAAGCAACACCATATAACACCATTGTTCATAGTGGTGCCCTCTTGGAGCAGACGAGCACTTTCTGTCCGGACCAGTTCCTCTTTTTTCGCAGCAATTGGGTGATCTTATCGATCTTATCGCAGCGAAAGGATCATCACTCTGTGAAAAGCTGGTACTGACAGATGGTGCTGCTAGATTCTAGCTCGATCTATACCAAGTTGTTCATCTACAAATCTGGCTTGACTGTGGCAGTTGATAAAGATTTCCAGATGACGAACCCGAAGCCTTGCAACATAGAGCATGTTGGAGAAAGATGACCCTGCTCCACCCCCCGGTCACCGGGCCATCCACCCCTTTTAGAACGGTCACCTGGCACCTGGACCAACCGTTCGTTGACCTTTTTCACCGTTCGCCATGTGTGATCGCGCGCGAGAACTCTCGGCGAGCGAGCTGAGGTCACTGAGACGTGGATCATGTTCCTCATCGTTCGCATCTCCACCGACCCGACACAGACCCAAGAGCAGGCGCCAGTTGGGTGGCGGGCGAAACGCGCGCGTCTCGGGGTGGGGTGGTTTCACGGTTGGGGGTGTGCGGTGGGGTGAAGACGGAGCGCGGGTGGTTTAGCGGGGAAAGCTGCAGACGATGGGGAAAGGGAATAGGAACCAAGGACGCTTCTAGTAACCAAGGGCATCGCTACGAATGGAGCAAGAAGCTAGTAGCTCCTGGCATTACTACTATAGGAACAAGGATGCTACTAGGTTTTCCTCCTTTCTTTTGGTTGGTTGAGCTGCGACAGCGGGGACAGAGTTGAGGGGGCAGAGGATGAAGAAAGAGTGGTTTGGGGAGCGGTTCCGATCAAACACAATAAGTGCTTCTTGCTGACCGCTTGATCTTGGACTTGAAGGAATTGAAGGTCCATGTTGGTATTCATCCGAATTTCATGCTAGTTCACGTCACAGAGACGACCATCCCCTAGCGTGTGAACCATGCTCTCATCCAAAGAAACACAACACCAAAAGAATGACTTGAGTTTCGGTGACTTTGGATCATCCTCCAGTACTTGGGCTTGGCAGATTCAGTGAGACCTCCCTCCCGAAAAACATAAAAAAGAACACCTTTTTGCAGCGCACTCTTCAGTCAGGAAGTCCTCCCCTCTCTTTTCAGCGCTCCAAGTCATCCGGCCCGGTGCGCTGCCGCCGCCGACGAACGGCGCCGCGCCGGAGGCGTTCGATTCCTCCGTCCTGCGGCTCTTGAAGTGGCTTTTGCGGCAAAGACCGGGATCGGATCCGCGGTGACGGTGGAGACTCGCCGTGACCGGACGGACGGCCCGTACGGCCGCATGCGGACACGATGCGGGACGCGTCACATCCAAACGAAGAAGGTCGGGGGTTTTGGGGGGGGGGGGCTGAGCTGGAAGAAAGTGGAGCTTTGGATGCACTGGCAGGCTGCAGGAGCTGTTGTTCGAGCATGATTCTTGGCAAGGTTGCTTTTTGGGGGCAGATGGTGTAGTCCAGGTCTAAACATGTGTCATACGGCATCCCTTATTGGTGGAAACTAAGTGGATGTTATAGAGGGACATGACCAGGTCATTTGGTAGACTTTGTCAACCGAACTAGACCTTCCAGTGTTTTAGCTGGGCCAAGCAGCGCAGCGAGTGTTTTGTTGGTGGATCTGCCATGCCTTTCTCTGCAGAGCCGGTCCGCCGATTGACCCGAAAGAACCGATTTTCTGCTTGTTCAAACTTGTACGGTCTCATCGCCTGAAAAACACCGGTTGGCTGCCTGGTTTCCTAGTCCCTTGGCCACCTGGCCACGCGATGGCCACGCCTGCTCTAACCCCTTGGCTCCCCCTCCTCCCCATCCGCCCAGGCTCGTGCGCATTACGCGGGTGGCGCGGATTGCTCGCTTGTTGCGGCAGGTGCCCGAGGCTCGCTCGCGGCGCTCGCGGCGATCGCAGTCTCCGGTCGGAAAGGATCCTCTGGGAGCGGGAAACACAGCATTGAGACTCTTAAGATCCTCTCATAAGACACACAATTTGCGCCCAGGGGTGGTCAGGTGATTTTTCCCCAAACAGCTTTGCTGTGAGGGGTTCTCAATTCTTGCATAGAAACGATGCTGGGCCAAGAAAGATGATTCCCACCGTTTGTCTCCCCTTGTCTCCCATGGCGTGTCTGGATGCTGGGCTGGGATCACTTTGCTTTATCT